TAGGAGGGAAAGTCAAATCTTCTTGGAAGGAAGATAACATCTTCCTAGACCCTACGGTTTTTTTATATTGGAAGTTCAATATTCCATCAAAAATCCCCATGGATGTCAGTAAATATATCCATATATGTAAAACACACACACACACACACACACAAGTCACATAGTAGAAACAGACCTCAATATTAGAGTCATAAGACACAGGATTAAAAAACATCATGTTCAAGAAAGTAAGTGGCAAGATGAAGACGAAGAATTTCACCAGAAGCCTGGAAACTCTAAGAGTATAAAATGAAAACGCTAGCATTGAAAAAAATCACACAACAGACATTAGCATTTTAAGGAATGATTCATTAGTCATTCCTTAAAGTTTATCAGCAGATTCAAAACAACAGAAAAGATTTTTAAAAATATGGCCAGGCAATTATCCAGACTGTGGTCAAAGAGAAACAAAAGTAGAAAACAAAGATTAATACAGTTTATATTTTTATAGACTTTCTACATATATACATATATATAGATTTTTACAGAAAGAAATCACAAATAGATAATACCTTAAACTAATTGACAATGAATTTATGAAATATCATACATGTAGAATTCAGTAAAGCTACATTTAAAGTAAAATTTAAAAGCCCCAAATACTTATTTTAGGAAAGGCAGGAAATCAAGGATATATCTATATAACATAAACAATAATCAAATTATACCCAAATAAATTATAAAGGAAATTTTAAAAACTCAGAAAACTCACAAATTACCAACATATGGAATAAAAAGAAGTCACTCAAAAATTCTACAAATATTAAAAAGATAAATAGAACTATGAATATTTCTATGCCTAAAACTCTTGAAGATTAAATGTAACTAACATAATTTTTTAGAAATGCAATCATTAAAAACTAGCACAGAAAGGATATGAACTGTCCTTTGTATGTCAAAGAAATGAAATCCAGAACTAAAACCTTCTCACAAAGAAAATACCAGGTCTTAATGGTTTCAGTTGTGAATTCTTCTAAACATTTAGGAGAGAAACACCACCCAATTTTCAAACTCTTTCAGAGACTAGAAAACAGAGTATACCTTCTAATTGTTTATGAAATCAGCATAATTTTGATATAGAAGATTTAAGTAAAAAAAAAAAGAAAAAGTGGAGGCTTATCTTTTTCATGAACAGAGATGCCCTAAGCAAAATATTACTGGATAGACTTCAGTAATATAAAGAAAAAGTTAAAACATCAAAAATGCAAGGTAGGTTTAATATTTCAAAATCAGGAATTATAATTCACAAACAAAATAAAGGAGAAAAATATTCATATCAACAATTGATACAGAAAAAATACTTACATTTGATAAAATTCTATACCTTGTCTACCATAAAGACTTCTTAAAATAGCAATAAAATGAAATTTCCTTAATCTGATAACTGATATCTATGTAAAATTTATAATTATTTTTATGCTTAAGGTTTAATTACTAAAGATTTTTCCTGAGATAAGACATATATATATTTTTAAATGAAATTACTAATAGTATCTGACATTATTCTGGTGATCCAATCCATTAATATAAGAACAGACTAATAAAAGGATTTTAAAGAAAGAAAGAAAATTATTATTGTTTCAGGCAATAAGATTGTGTACACAGAGTATTTTTAAAACAAACTAGATAATATTATAGCTAATAAATAAATTTTACAAACTTGCTAGTTTAAGGTAAGACTTTTTAAATTGTGTTTTTATACATACAGGGAGCACACACCAATGGAAAATAAAATTTTTAAATGATTATTTGTAACAGCAGTTAAAAACATTTAATGAACACTATGCAAGATATCCTCCAGAAGAGCACACAGGATGATACACTGAGAGGAATTTCACATTTTAAAGACCTCAATAAATGAATATACTTAAAAGACTCAGTACTACTAACATTTTTTGTCTGTTTCTAAATTGAATTGTCAATGTAATGCAATCAAATTCAAAATCCCAGGGGGAGTCCCCTCAGCCCCCCAACAAAACTGACAAACTGATTCTAAACCTTAAAGGAAAAGTCCAGGAATTAATTGCTAGGGCAATTTTGAAGACCAAAGGTGAATGACTTAGAGTACAAGACATAAAAATGTATTATAATAGACCAATCAAACTGGATGGAAATTCTATATCCATTCATATATAGTTACGAGATTTATGCAAAAGTGCCAACACAATGTCCTGGAGAAAAAGTGCCAACATAATGTCCTGGAAAAAAAATGGTCTTTTTTTCTTTTTTTTTTAAATTTTTTTTTTGACAGAGTCTCACTCTGTCACTCAGCCTGGAGTGCAGTGGTGTGATCTCGGCTTACTGCAACATCTGTCGCCCGGGTTAAAGCGATTCTCCTGCCTCAGCCTCCCAAGTAGCTGTGATTACAGGCGTCTGCCACCATACCCTGCTAATTTTTGTATTTTTAGTAGAGATGGGGTTTCACCATTTTGGCCAGGCTGGTGTTGAACTTCTGACCTCGTGATCTACCTGCCTTGGCCTCCCAAAGTGCTGAGATTATAGGCGTGAGCCACCGTGCCCAGCTGAAAGGATGGTCTTTTAAGAAACAGTACTGTGTCAGGTTAATATACATTTTTTTAAAAATGAACCTTGACCACTGCTTCTTACAAGATGTTTTCAATATGCATTAGGAATCCAGAATGCTTAAAGATCTTTCAAGTCAATAAAAATAGATGAACCAATTTTAAAGTTTTTAATTTCAAAGCAGGATAAATTCCTGGAATAGATGCATCACGAAACAGGATACAACTGTACAGTAATTATGTGAAAATGTGGTTAATATCATTGTTTGTCAGAGAAACACAAATTAAAACAACAATAAGATTTCACTATGTATACCCAGTAGAATGATAAGTAAACAAATGAAATTTGAGCAAAGAAGAGGAACAATTAGAATTTCTGTATTAAGTTGTAGATATACCTTAGTACAAGCACTCAGAAAACTGTCGGTATTTATGAAAACTGAATGTATGTATATACTTTGATGTACCAATTCCACTCTTTCCAACAAAAGAAATATATATGCTATCAAAAAAATTTTTGTGAAGATGTTCATAGCAGTAATATTCTTGCTTCAAAAGACAAAATCTCCATCAATAGTTAATTAAACTGCCATATATCCACAAAAGGAAATGTTATACAGCAATACAAAAGAAAATAACCTATTGTACTTACTGTATTGCTACACACAAAAACATGGGTGAATCTACCTTCCATAATATTGAAAGGAAGCAGCCAGGTACAGAGAAAGATAGTCTGTGAGATTTCACCCACATAAAGTTCATCCATGCAAAGTGGAGGGCGACAGTAGTCAGAATTGTGCTGTCTTTTGGGGAGGTATGTCATGTTTGAGACAGGGCGTGGGAGATATCTGTAATCCTACTAACGCTCTATTTCTTCATCTGCATGGTGGTTTTTAGAGTGTCACGACTTTTATAAATTAGTTGAACAGAAGATTTAATATTTGTATGCTATGCAACATTTATATTATACTTCAATACACATAGTCACAGAAATATTAATTAGGACTCAACAAAGTGAAAGATACAGAACTGAGCTTTTTCTCAAAACCATTTAATAACCACATATCAGATTAATTTCAGTCCTTGGATGAAACTCCTGAAATCATCATGGGTGAATCCCTTGCTCTAGCATCTCATGCTCACATACATCATTAGATTACACAGGGCGAGGCTGGCATAGGATTGGGAGGAAGGAGGAGGGTAGGCAGGTTTCAACACAGCTTTAAAGTAACCATGGCACTGACTTTTTAATTTAATTTAATTTTACTTTATTCTATTTGGAGACAGGATCTCAATCTGTCTCCCCGGCTGGAGTGCAGTAATACAATCACAGCTCACTGCAGCCTCAACCTCTTGGGCCCAAGTGATCCTCCTGCCTCAGCCTCCTGGGTAGCTGTAACCACAGGCACACACCACCATGGCTGGTTAATTGTTTTTTCATTTTCTTTTCTTTTGTTTTTTTGTTGTTGTTGTTGTTTTGTTTGTTTTTGTTTTTGTTTTTTTGTAGAGATGGGTGTCTCATTATGTTGCCCAGGATGGCCTCAAACTCCTGGCCTCAAGTGATCCACCAGCCTTGGTCCTCCAAAGTGCTAGAATTACAGGCATGAACCACTAAGTTCAGCCAGAATTGACTTTTGATAAGATGGGTGGAGGGTGGGGTGGTGGATGTGCTCTTGTTCTCATGAACTTTTTCTGTGAAAATACATATTTGATTTCTTAGGAAGTTGGAGGAATTTCTCATTTTCTCTCTCCTCTCTGTCCTCCTCTCTGCCCGCAACATCTATGAGTGAGCCCCGGCTTCAGGAACATATACCTACTCCCTGCCTCCTGGTTTTGGGCAGGCTCCTGTTCCCTATTGGTGGAAACAGCCTTGCTGTTACACAAAAAACAGCTCCTATGATATAGTATTTTTGACCCATTTCTACTAAAAAATCTTACTGCATTTTCAATTGATTGGAATAATTTTCTACAAGCAATTTCTCTTTGAATTTTTAGGGTCTCATAATTAAACCTGGCAAGTAATTTGGGAAAATGTAAACATGCGAAATCACCCTTTTTTATACCCATTGCTTTAACATCATAGAATTCTTCAGACACAAGTCACGTGTCCAAATAAAGGCTCTAAGCCAAATGATCTTGAGTTAGTCAAGAACGTATGGAAAATATATTTATATATTATTTAATCTTAGAAGTCTAATGGCTATAGTCATAAACAAATTACACATTTTAAGTGCAAAGAAACATTTTGATAAAATAACTCTGATTTTCAAAATTGCCTCAAAATGAATTAAAGTCACTACGACGCAATCATTCAATTCAGAATTTCAAAAAGGTTTTTAGAAGTTTGCCTTATTGTTTTTTTAGTCATTTGATACAAATATGCATGACTAGAGCATATTATTCTACATTATTCAATGATATTTAAAATTTTGTACTCACCATGGAAGAATAAATTGGAAGTTCCTTGTATGGGTTAACAAGCAAAAGAATGTCCCCAATGAATGTCTGTGAAAAAAGGGATGCAAACAGTTCATTATTCATATAAATAGCATCTTTAAAAAACACAAATCATACAATTTAAAAGTCATTATATGAAATATAAAAAATAAGAAAAATCTACTTTAATATTTTGTAACTTTTTAATATTTCACAATTTTTTTAAGTTTGGAATTAAAAATATTAAATAAACTAAATAATTCAAATTAAATAAAACAGGCTTTATTTCACTGAGCATATGAGAAATGAAATAGTTAAATTCTAAGAATTTCTTTTCTTAAAAGATTCTGTGAGAATCAAACAATGAAAAAATATAGACTTAAAACATATGACAAAATACCTATGAAAAAGACAATGGGGTAACAAATTCTGTTATTCTGCTACAGAACAACAAACTGCATGAGAGAGAAGTTAGTAAAGCACAATTATCAAATAAAATACTTTGTTTCAATTAAAAAGTAACAATGAGATACAAAGGCACAAAGTACAGATGGAACAAATAAAAATAATAAAAAGATAGATTTAAACCCAAACAACAGCAACCACATCAATTGTAAAGGTACCAAATAGTCCAATTAAAATGCAAAGATTTTAAATTATATTAAAATATGAAAGATGACTACTTTAAAGAGAAACATCCTAAACATATAGAATTAAAAAAAAGGAAAAGAATGAAACAAGGTATGCATGCAAACAATAATAACAGCAAAGAAGATGACTATGGAAATAATTAATTTATAGAAAATGTGCTTTTGGAAGCGGTACCAGAAATAAAAAGAAACATTTCACAGTAAAATGATAAATCAATCAGGAAGAAACAACATTTCTAAATTTCTAGGAGACTAAAATCTAGCATCACATATATAAAGAAATAACATATAAGGAGGAAAACGTGAGTTAACAATGATAGTGAAACATTTTAACCATTTTTCTTAGTAATTCATGGAACAAGCAGACAAAATTTTAAAGTAATAATTACCGCATTGACCAATTTATTTATATAAAACACTGTTACTGACAAGTTGAACACTGGCTTGTTTCCTTAAACTTTAAAGATTTGAGTCACACAGAGTATGTTCTATTACGGTAGAATTAGGATAGAATATCATCTCCTGAACTCTGTGTGAAGGGCCTTAATGTCATCCACCAGAAAACTAACTCCAAATAAATGTTTACCCTTTAAAAAAAGAAGAGTATTGTATTGTGTGTTAAAAATTAGCTAAGAGAGCAGAGTTTTGGTGCTCTTACCATAAAAGAAAAAGGTAACTGTGAGGTTATGGTATGTTAATGTGCTTGACTGTAGAACTCATTTCACTAAGTGTATGTACATTAAAGCATCACGGGCAGGGGCAGTGGCTCAGGCCTATGATCCCAGCACTTTGGGAGGATGAGGCAGGAGGATAGGATGATTGTTTGAGCCCTGGAGTTCAAGACCAGCCTGGGTAACATGCTGAGATGCCATCTCTACAATTTTTTTTTTTTAATTAGCTGGGCATGGTGGTGTATTCCTGTCATCCCAGCTACTCAGGAAGCTGAGGCAGGAGGATCACTTGATCCTGGAAGGTTGAGGCTGCAGTAAGCTGATATCTCACCAATGTATTCCAGCCTGGGTGAAAGAGTGAGATCCTGTCTCAAAAACACAAAACAAAAACCAAAATCCAAACAAAACTCACGTTGTACCCCTTAAAAATATACAATTTTTAAAAAAGGTTATTTTAATTAAAAAGATATTGAAGTCACTAGTAGATACCTAGAAAATCACCATTTTGAAATTTTACAATATATTTGCAAATAACTAAAAAGCTAAAAGGAATTAAAACGCAAATAAGACTATTTCTATTATACCGTAACTTGTGGGATGCAACTAAAGGTCTACTTAAGACAAAAATTATAGCCTAGAATGCATGTTAGAAAAGGAAAACAGGAGTGATAATTAATGATCTAAGTATCGACTTCAAGGAGTTTAAAGAATTGCATCAATTATAAAAAAATAAATTAGTAAAATAAAATAATATCAAAGCAGAAATCAATGGAACAGGGAGAAAAAAGCCAAAAGGTGATCCTTTGAAAAATGTACAATTTATCCCAGCAAAACTGATTCAGAAAAGAAGAGGAAATGCACCAACTGCCAATAGCAATCAGTAATACGACATCAAGACAGATCCTACCGACATAAAGACAGATGAAGACGGTATCATGAACCATATTATAGCCACTAAATTTAGAAATTTAGGTCAAGTAGACAACAATCCTAGGAAAATACATCATACCAAAGCTAACACAATAAGAAACAGAAATTCTAATTAGTTATTTCCCTATAAAGTAAGCGGAATCTACGTCTAAAATATTTTTCCACAAGGAAAACTCAGGCTTCACCGGTGAATTCTTCCCAACACTGATGTACAAAATAAACAAATATTCTACAAATTATTTCAGAAGATAACAGAAAAAGGAACACTTCCCATTTTAAGAACCCCACATAAAATGGACATTAGAATCTAATAGGAATATTGCAATAAAGAAAAATGACAGGTTGAACTCTCTTAATAAAATAAATGTAAAAATCCTAAGCAAAATATTAACAAATTGAATCCAGCAACTTAGTAATCATGATAATACATCTCAAATAGCTTTAGTCTAGAAATGCAAGGCTGATTTCATAATTGAAGATCAACACTTGTAACTAATAATATTAAAAAAAAAACTTAAAAAGACATATGATCATCTCCATAAATGGAGAGAAAGAATTTAATAATATTCAGTGCTCATTATTGATTAAACAATAACTTTGAAAACCATGAATATAATGAGATTTCCTTAATCTAATGAGAAGTAATGATACCTACGGCATAGCTGCTGCAAAGAACTTTCTTAATGATGAAACACTCAAAGGTTTTTTTTCTGGGATTGGCAATGGATAGGGCATTTATTATTGACATTTAAGTCTTTTTAGTGAAATTCTATCTCATGAAACAATGCAAGAAAAAAAGGTATGACTTTTTTAAAAAAAGAAATAAAAGTCATCATTTGCAGACTATATGGCATTGATGTAGAAAACCAATGGACTCTTTATGTAAATTAATACTGACATATAACTTTAGCAAGTTTGATGGATAAAAAATGAATATGAAAAAATCAAAATTGTATTCTCTATACATTACCCATGAACAACTAGAAAATAATTTTTTCTTCTTATTTTCCATAAAACAAACAAGCAAACATTTATTATGTCCTCAAAATGTGAAGAATGCAGATAAGCAAATTTAATAGATATGGGAAAGACTCCTACACCAAAAAATAAAAATTGCTCCAGAGAAATTAAAGATGGCCAATAAAAGGGCTACACCATTTTGTGAAATGAAAAATGAAATATTGTAAAAACCTCAATTATTTCCACTTACTTTATATATCTGATGCAATACCAATAAAAATCCAATGGAAATTGCTAAATTAACTTTAAAGTAGACATGAATCAAAGGTCATGATTGGCTAATACATGTTTAAGAACGAGGGGACTTTCTATTTATCAGGATTGACTATATAGCTGTAATGATCAAGATATTTGGGAATTTGTTTATGAACACATGGACCAATACAAAAGAAAACAGATCCTAGAAAATAGACCCGCTCCCTGGGGTCAACTGTTTAGGACAAAGGTGCTGTGGCCATGCAGCAGGGAGACACATGTGGGAAAAGTTTTCATCTGGATCCTCCTCTTTGACCATTGTGAAATCTTTTCCACATGGGTAATATACTATGTCTTGGGTTTGGGCCATAATCCCCAAAGACACCATCCTAAACAACATAATCCCGGATGCTGAAATCCCAAAAGAGCGAAATATCTAAAGTCCCAAATCCTGCAAGTCGAAGTCATGATGCAACTCTTGTGCATACAACCAAAAACACAATAATCCTTTCCCTAGAATTCAGCTTTCAGGATTTTAACATTCAGAATTTTATTATTTCAGGATTGTGATTTGCAGGATTACAGATGTTTGCGATTTCAGACTTTGAGGATTTTGATTTTTGGGGATTTCGATCTTTTGAGATTTCAACATTCTGACTGATGGCATTGGGGATTGTGTCTTTCAGGATTATGATCAGCACCAAAATACCTTAAATGTAAATGCTAAAATAATCAAATGTTAAGAAGAAAACATAGGAGAACATTTTCATAACCAATGCCAAGCTTTCTTAAACAGGTCACAACAAGTATGAACCCTAAAGAATCTGTAAAATTGTACACTTTGCTTCATTTAAATACACTATTTGAAGAGTACAACACAAGTCATAAACTGGAAGAAAATGTTCTCAATATGTATGTTTCACAACAAAAAGAATATCGTGAAAATATAAAAACTCCTACATATCAAGAAGAAGAAAGAAAACCCCATTTTAATGGCACTATAACTGAACAGGAAAATCACAAAAGAAGATAATCAAATGAACAAACATATATTAATATTTTCATTTGTTAAATCAGAGAAATAGAAATTAGAACCACAATAAGCTACCACTCCACACCTGCCAGAATAGCTGGAATTTGAAAAACTGTTAGTGAAACAAAAATACCATTTATGCCAAAAGCAATTGGGTCATATCTACCAAAGCTGAACATATTTTATGATGCTGGCATTCCACTCCTAGGTAAAGATCCCACAGAAATACTTATGTGGGCCAAAAAAATAAAAAGGTGCAAAACTGTTTATATTATTCATATTTACTAGAAAAGTGGAAACAAGTCAAAGTTTCCTCAAGTATAGAGTGGATAAATTAGAATATACTCATATAGTAGTTTATTGTACATAAACAAAAATTAGTAAATGCTTTTACAAGCAACAGTATAGCTGAATATTAGAGACATAATAATGAGATGAATACTACAAAACAGATTGCATTTATATAAAGTTAAAAAACACAGACAAAACCAATCTATCGGTGTAAATGTTGGAATATTTTGTAATGACAAGCGTGGATTGGGGGAGGACTTCTCTCTTCTATTACATTAT